AAACACTCTTAGTACAACTTTTGTAATTAGCTCATCACGCTAGCTTTCTCGGGGACCAATTTTAGTGCAACACACAACCAACAAGAACGCCGGTCTGCTGCTAATAACGTCAAATAGAAATTATATGCCGAATATATTTCTAGCCCTCAAACATTTGGCCGCCAAATGGAAAATCCACCCGCAATCGGCCGGTGGCAGGTTTTAATTCTGATCTGAATTCAATACTGCTCGCTCGATTATTGACATATCGCGTAGGATTGTGTCGATGATATGTATCGTCTGGGATAATATCTTAATTATTCTTTTAACAATGTCTGAGCAGACATTATTGAGTAGGATACATCACTCGCTTTGCAAAAAACAATCAAAAACACCTCCAAGCATTCACTGCATTATACTTCAAAATGACTGAAGTTAAAAATTAGTCAACAGATACCACCAACCTCACTATCTGTGGCGTTACATTGAATTGGTAGATGGGGATCAACCTCACTTGCATGGTGGTGGTTTGGCTTTGAAAAGACGGTTGTTGCTTAAAAGACAATCTGCCAACCAGCCAAGGTACCAGCACAAACTCCGATTCAAAGACTGCAACAGTGATGACAGAATCAAAGCCATTACAACAACAGCTACAGACAGAACTCACGGTTATAGAAAAAGATTAAATGGTTTATCTTACAGTTTTAAGTAAATAATCAAGACCTGTTTCCATTAATGTAATTTGTAAGAAACAATTAATATTCAGTTTACAAGAACAAGCTAGCACAATATCAGAAATACAGTATAGCGCCGTAATATTTTATAATATTAATACAACCCTTCTATCGCAGTGCTTCAGCCTCCTTTGTGTCTCCGGCCTAACTCCCTCTACACATAATTTCTAGAATTATTAGGTGCTTCTTGGCAATTCAGTCAGATAAAGCTGTCTGACAAATTAACCTTGAGGGCAGCAGGCCTGTATTGATCTGCATGTAGATGTGGCTTTGTCAAGCCCTGATCTTTACCATGCCTGAAGATTTACAAAGGTGTCCTCCACCACATCTCCATCACTCAAATTATACATTAGAATTAAGCAAAATCTCATCCTGAACAATTTAGAACAACTTTAAATCCGGAGACCTTTGTACTCAACCAGATACCCACCTAACCTGTGAGTCTGCTCAAATGTAAGGTTCAAATAAGGTCCTTCTGTGATTAAGAGGAATCCTATTAAAGCTCTTTAAACGGGTTACTGTGGCATTGAATCATTACTGTGTGCACAAGCAGCTCTTTTGCTGCAGTGGCTCACTGCTGATGAGTACAAGTACTGCTGATACTAAATCACTCCCTGCATGCATTTTAATGTGAAGACAGTGGTGGGCCTTTAATGTATAACCAGAAGTGCTGACCGTGTCATTAGATTTTAGATCATCTCACCAAAGATGTACTCCATGTGTTTTTTCTAAAAGTAGATTTGGACCTTTCCCGCACTTCAACATGTATGGATGATGTGCATTTTACGAAATCTTTAAGCTCAAACAACATACTGATGTTACACCTTATTAACTTTTGGAGTTTAAAAACAACAACAAAAAGCTGGATCATGGTTCCCTGCAATTTTATCTCTAAGAGGTTCAAGTGTAAAGAGATAATTGATAGCTCCCTTGAGGGAAATAGCATCGCTAAAAATATGATGGCAATTATCTGATGAATAATTAATCAATTAACAAAATTTTAAAGCAAAACTGCAAAAACAGTCCCTAGTTTTAGCTTCTCAGTTGTAAGGATCTGCTGCTTTTCTTTGCCTTAGGTCAGTGATTCGCAACTTGGGGATGAAGTCTGGGATGCTTGATTGGATTGGTTGAAAACAAAAAAAAGTTCTGCTTCTGCTATACAAGTGGTATTTTTGTCTTCAGTCTTTGCAGATTGACAAAAGATTTGCGTGAACATCTTTGTTATTGTCTTATTTAACATGTTTTCCAATATGAGAAGTTTGGAGATCAAAACTTAATACCAATATAATAATACCAAACTTGCCTACAAACCAAATTCCCCTCAGGGGCATCTGCTGGTATCTGCAAATTCTTAAAAAGCAGTGAATTTGTGTTCCTCCCTTACGGTATTAAAAAGTCTTCAATACTGTTCTCTTGACTGCTGTTGGTTGTAATGCTTTTGTATCCAGGCTGCCTGGAGGTGTTAGACTACACCTTTCAACTAAAACAGACTGGTGTGACGGTGGATTGTGATGCAGAGGCTGTTCAAGCTTTTTTTTTTGTGGAGTTCAGTCAACACCATCAGACCTGAAGCAAACATCGTCGAACACTACTGCTAGCTACAGTACAGTGGCTAGGAAGAATGTATGGCCATGAAAATTTAATTAAATTGGATTCTGTGGCATTTAAAAGGTCTTACAAATTCTTAAATTTAATTTTTAAAACAGTACTGGCTAGTGTTAAATATACATTAGTAGTTCTACTGTAGAGAATAATGCAGTTGAACGGTATCACTGACCTTCAACAAGTCACTTTCTTAAATCTACAGCATTTCCCAGTGATTTTCATTAATTAATAAAATATTCCATCTTAAAAAACACGTTACTGGCTAAGATAAACACTTTTCTCTTTTTATATATCAGCCATTGGTCAACCACTTTTTATTAATCAATCTAGAAAATAGAGAAAACCGTCAGAAGATAAATCAATAATGAAAACAGTTGTTAGCTGCAGCCCTCGCTGACACATTTCTATCATATGTAGCATCATATCACACAATCCTGCCATGAAACATAAACTGTGTGTTAGTCAGTCAGTAAAGAGTGCAGCCATGCATGAAACAATGTTGAGGTGTTCGGTGACCTGAGAGGCTTTAAATGCCCGTAAATAAATCTCTTGTCCATTGTCAATAGTTCTACCTGACAGAAGTATTGATTATGGAATGAAATGAAACGGCTGAATATTTAATGGCCATCAATTAGCATACTTCCTTATTAACCATGAATAATGTAATGATGATGTAATCTGTAAATGTTCAAAAATTAAAGTTTTCAGAGCTCAGATTAATGTCTTTGGTCCAGTAACCAGAATGTCTAATGTTTTCATGTCATCTTGATTGAAGTGTCTGACAACATTTTGGAAAGGACCCCTACAGAGAGAGACCTTTTTATTAAAGAGTAATATCCAGCCGCTATATTTTCACACATGTAGCAGTACTCCTCCTGTAAACACGACACAAAAAAAAGAATTTGATTTGTAAAATTAATGGGGTTGCTTTATAGATTATTTTTTATTATTTTTACAGAATCGTGTCCAAGATATGTACTGAGCGGGACATTTCACAGTTGGAAAAATAAACTCAACACTGGTCTCTCTGGACAAAAAATGTAATCACATGTGTGGCATATCAAGATAATGATCAGACAGCATGGGTATTGCACAGATGTGCCCGAGGCTGGCCACAATAAAAGGCCACTCGAAAATGTGCAGTTCCATCACACAGCACAAAGCCACAGATGTTGCAAGTTTTGAGGGAGCGTGCAATTGGCATGCTGACTGCAGGAATGTCCACCAGAGCCATTGCCTGTGAATTGAATGTTCATTTCTCTACCATAAGCCGTCTCCAAAGGCGTTTCAATGAATTTGGTAGTACATCCAACCGGGCTCACAAACGCAGACCACGTCTAACCACACTAGCCCAGGACCTCCCCATCCTGCATCTTCACCTCAAAGATCGTCTGAGACCAGCCACCCGGACAGCTGCTGCAACAATTGATTCGTACAACCAAAAGAAATTCTGCACAAACTGTAACGAAACGTCTCAGGAAAGCTCATCTTCATGCTTGTCATCCTCACTGGGGTCTCGGCCTGACTGCAACTTCGCACAGCCATTGAAAAGCAGTGGACCAACATTCCACAGGCCACAATGAACAACCCGATCAACGCAAATGGTCACACCAGATACTGGTTTCTGGACCCCCGGACTCCCCCAATACAGTGAAACCGCATATTTTCGAGTGGCCTTTTATTGTGGCCAATACCCATGCTGTCTGATCTTCTTGCATCTTGATATGACACACCTGTGAAGTGGATGGATTATCTTGGCACTAACACAGATTTTGATAGATTTGTATTTGTAATATTTGAGAGAAATAGGCCTTTTGTGTACATAGAGAAAGTCTTAGATCTTTGAGATCAGCTCATAATGAATAGGGGTAAAAACAAAAGTGTTTGTGCTTATAATTTTGTTCAGCATAGTTGGCAGCTAGCTGGTGAACATAGTGAAACATATAGCAGCTAAAGAGACAGATATTTCTCTCAGGAGTTGGTGGAGACCAAAAACAGAACAAACAGGAGAGTGAATTATTAATGAAGCTAATATGTATAAATTTATATTTACAATATAGAAAATAATTGTATTGCGATGTGTAATCTCCAGATAAGTAGGTCATAACAATGAACAATCATGTATACTGGAGGGGCACTAGAAAATAAAATAACATTTACGTTAAAAGGTGGAAAGGTCTGTGTTTATCCAGTGTTTCAGTATTGATTATCCCTTCAATATCTCTGTCTTAGTTTGCCTCCACGCTGGATCACCAGTCCTTCTGTACAATATGCTCTGCCAGCACTGAGCTGATCAATGTGTACATGGCTCCTTTAATGCATAGCAGTGATAATTAGACCCCGGAGGATATCAGTGAACTGACAGATTAATCATTCTGACCCAGTGAATCCAGGCTGTGCTCAAGACACCAGCCCACATCGACTTCCTATTTCCACTGAGAGCTTTCACTGTTAAGGTTTTAAAGTCAGCTGGATTCTGCTGTCAGTCAGCTTCGTGTGTATGAGTGGAAGAGCAGAGATGTGTGGTGGAAAATTCTTTTCCACCACACATCTCAAAGGGCAACCATGTTTTGTAATGAGTTACAGGGTTAGTGAAAAGTATGATGTATATCTGTGCATGTGATACGTTCTATAACAACTCTGACTGGTGTCCGTCCTCGTCATCTTGGTTGTGTCCTTCAGGGCTGCAGGATGTTCACTTCAGTGAAGGCCTTCGAGGGACAGCAGTACTCTACCCTGAAGAGGCAGTGCTTGCAGAGTGGCCTGCTGTTTGAGGACCCCTGCTTCCCCGCCACCGACGACACGCTCTTATACCAGGGCAACAGGATTGGACGTGTGGTCTGGAAGAGGCCTCGGGTAAGTTGGTTTGTGCAGTAAATGAGTTCCAACTGATAAAAACTGATATTTATGATTTGAGGCCATAGACGGCTGATAGATAGTGATCAGAAAGATCATTATCAGACACCAAAAGTTTCAAAATACAATAATTCAGTATGGGGGTTAGTTCATGACACAATTAAAGGGTAGGAAACTATAATGTTTATCTGTACCAGAATAGCTGATGGGTTCCCAAGTGTCTGGAACAAAATGACAATGGTTGCTAATATAATTGTAAATTTCAGTTTTTAATTTATAGGTTATAATCAACCAAAGCCTTAATGTTCATTAGCTGCGTCATATAAGAGGTAAGAGAAGTGCCTGGCTAGTATGTGATTTTAAGTGAAGGGTAAATTCACTCACATTATGTGTAGAAAACAGTCCAAGAATAGCAAAATAAGGGCAATTAAACAAAAAACTGTACAGTTGCTATAGCACAACTATCATATCCTATTTATACCTTGTCACCTCATGTATCTTAGGCAGTACAGAGAGCTCTCTGATGTAACAAAACAACAACATTAAAATCCGATTGCTTAGACTCTTAGGAGGTGGTTTGAGACACATTATAGCCAGATATGGAAAAGGTGTGAATGCATCTATCTCTCCAAGACGCATATGTAATGTTTACTTCTCTAAGCTTAACTACATCAGCAGTAGCAGCCTGCAGAAAAAGCCTCTACAATGTCCCATGTCTGCTGTGGTAATGCAGCTGAAAAGTTTCTTCCTGGAAAGCTAAAGCGATAAAAAGCGACTCACATGGTCATACACAAGGTGTAACCAGCTGTTGTAGTGTTTATCTAAACTTTGATCAGTAAGACCATTGAATGGTCTGTGTGGGTGGGTGAGAAGTGAGTAAGAACCTCTGAAAGCAAGCAAGACTTTCATTTTGCTGGTAGTGGATCCACACGAGTCATCCATCAGTTTGTATTTGCATTATTGGCTACCTAGCTAAACTTTCGTAGCTTAACAGCTGATGTGCACAATGTATTCTTCTTCACCACCATTCTCTGGAAGGGAGTACGGCCAACCTTGATTTTAATGTCTTTGTTTAATACATTAGGACTAGGAGTGCAGCGCTCCCTGTGTTTTGTTTTAAATCACTTATGCTAGAGGTTTTTCTTTCCTTTTGATTTTTGAATTAGATACTATTCCCTTGTTTTGGAGAGATCTCCTTTTGTCATCTTGTGTTTATGCACAAGCACCCACTTGCCCAGTTTCTGTTGTTTAGACTTTGTAAAAACTCTCTCCTTAATAAATAACTCAGACAGTTGGGATGTAACACCAGTCAAAAACAAACCACATTTATTTACCCATAGTCACTTCATGCATCTTTGCTGGATTGAAAAGCCTCCAAATGCATGCAAATGCTGCTTGGATGCATTAACACAAAAGCACCTCCAGCATTTCGACACATGCAGTCATACAGAAGGCGCACCAAGCTGTTAGCGTTTATTTGATCTCGATCAGTTCAACCATTGAATGATTTGTGTGGGTGAGTGAGTGCCAAGAGTGAGGATGCTAAAATGTTTGTCTCCATCGTAGTCCATAAATGCGGTTTATCCATGTGTTTTTATTAGTAGTTGTATAGTTGTTATTTCTAACTGTTAAATAGCAAACAGCATTACCACCTCCGTCTGGACTGGAGTAAGCCTTACACCATTGTGCATGTAACTGGGAAAACCAAGGCAGATCGCAATCAGATTTGTGATCTGGCCAACAGATATGTGTATGTTTAAAGGAAAGTGTATCGCATCCAGACTTTATACAGAATTGAAACGATACACTTGAAATTATTAATGGAGCCACAGTGAGCATTGTTATTGACTTGACCACTGACATAAACAAAATCATAAACACAAAAATATCAGTACCTGGTCGGTCAATGAGGCACTGTGGTTAGTTAACCATCTTGCCAAAGTCCCTGCAGGAATATGATACGGCAATTTTATGTAATTGTACATACAGAGGAGAAAATATTCACCTTTTAAAAACATTGACATTAGGGAGCTCTCAGTACCAAAGGTCTCTTCAGGAAGAGAGTTAGATGACCTATATACCAAATAACAGTATGTCAGTAGTCATCAGTTGTTGCTCCACTCCAGTCTTCAGTCTTCTTGTATAAGCCGGTGCTTTATGTATGTTTCAGTGGCAGATGATATCGGATGCAGGGCCTCAGGATTTAGTGAGCTGACTCCCCTGCCACTGTTATCCCCCTCACACAGCAGGCTGCGGCTCTGGATGGAGTAACCTCCTTCTGCCTATGTGCCGCTGCTGCTCCAGCCAGCGTGCATTGCCATGGAAACTGGGTCACGCAGATTATATGTTTTGGTCTGTGCTGATGTCAGTCATGCAGACTGAAAACTGGAAGAAGTCAAGAGGAGAAAAAGCAGGAGGAGCATCCTATTTTATTTTTGTTAGGACACAATTTGTGTCTTCTTCACGGTGGTTTATGTCGGGAGGTTAGGGACCCTAAACAAGCATATTTTAACTCAGCATTTTTCAAAGATTACTGCATGCTAAGGTTGATGATGCTGACTTGGACTTGAATTCTAAAGCTACCCATTTTTTGCCAATTACAAACACAACTACATGAAACTGGCATTAGTCATTTTGTAAAGGCCATTGTGAAAAGCACATTCATATATACGGTAAAAATGTAACTTGTGAGGAGATAAGGAGGTATTTAATGAGTTAATATCGTTCTGCAAAGGAGTTTGGCATCCACTTACAGAGTCTCACAAAAGTGAGTACACCCCTCACAGTTTTGTAAATATTTGATAATATCTTTTTATGTGACAACACTGAAGAAATTACACTTTTCTACAATGTAAAGTAGTGAGTGTACAGCTTGTATAACAGCGTCACTTTGCTGTCCCCTCAAAATAACACGTCACACAGCCATTAATGTCTAAACCACTGGCAACAAAAGTGAGTACACCCCTAAGTGAGAATGTCCAAATTGGGCCCAAAGTGTCAATATTTTGTGGCCACCATTGTTTTCCAGCACTGCCTGAACCCTCTTGGCATGGAGTTCACTAGAGCCTCACTGGTTGCTACTGGAGTCCTCTTCCACTCCTCCTTGACGACATCATGGAGCTGGTGGATGTTAGAGACCTTGCGGTCCTCCACCTCCCGTTTGAGGATGTCCCACACATGCTCAATAGGGTTTAGGTCTGGAGACATGCTTGGCCAGTTCAACACCTTTACCCTCAGCTTCTTTAGCAAGGCAGTGGTTGCCTTGGAGGTGGGTTTGGGGTCGTTATCATGTTGGAATACTGCCCTGTGGCCCTGTCTCCAAAGGGAGGGGATCGTACTCTGCTTCAGTTTGTCACTGTACATGTTGGCATTCATGGTTCCCTCAGTGAACTGTAGCTCCCCAGTGCCGGCAGCACTCATGCAGCTCCAGACCATGACACTCCCACCATCATGCTTGACTATAGGCAAGTCACACTTGTCTTTGTACTCCTCATCTCGTTGCCGCCACACACGCTTGACACCATCTGAACCAAATACGTTTATCTTGATCTTATCTGACCATAGGAGGACATGGTTTCAGTAATCCATGTCCTTAGTCTGCTTGTTTTCAGCAAACTGTTTGCATCATCTTTAGAAGAGGCTTCACTTACAATACAAATTCACTGGGAACTGTAAATACACATGCTGAATTTCTGCCTCCTCCTAATTTGCAATAGTTACTGAAAACCCATTCTCAGCGCAGTGATTCATTCGAGGAGAGTGCATGATAATGAAGTTAAACATAAAACTACTTAGGGACGGAGTGGGTTTGAGAGAATGAAATGTTCAGAACAATCAAAATTTAATGAAGTCCCTGACAAAAGGTCATTTAAGTACAGCACGTTTTCTACAGTGCACTTCTGCGCAGTCAAGGTTAAATACTTCAGTGGATAAGAAGACTATAAGTGTGGGATTAGATTTGTTTCACTATTTACTACTATTTAACACATTTTGCTCAATTCCTATTGAAACAAACATAATCCCATATGCAGGGCAAGGTTATAGTTAATCTACTACTCTTCATTAAACATTGTTTAAGGTTAGATTTAGTTTTTTCTGATTTAGTCCTATTTAATTTGTTGTTTGTTGTTGTTGTTGTTTTTTTCTGTAAACAAAATGCTGTTTTCCTTTTCTTTCTTTTTCCATTCCTTCCACTTGGCAGTTTTCAATCCGACCGAAAATCACACACGCTTTCTGTCTTACTACCTAAAGGATGTACCACTTCCTGTATCAGGACTGAACGTTGATTTAATACATACCAGTAAGAGCCGCAATAAATACTAGTAAGAGCTCATAGTAGGATTCGAACCACAGGAGTGCTTTATTCAAGATGCGCATTGCTGAGAGAGCGGATAGCAGGGTCCTGTGGTTGACTGTGTCAAAGGCTGCTGATAGGTCAAGCAGGATAAGAACCGAAGATTGGGCTGCAGCTTTAGCTGACCTTAGGGCTTCTGTTACAGACAGAAGAGCCGTTTCAGTAGAGTGGGCACTCTTAAAACCAGACTCATATGGATATAGGAGGTCATTCCCTGAGAGGAATTCTGAGACATGTTTGAATACTGCCCGTTCAATAGTTTTGTATAAAAATGGAAGAAGAGACACTGGTCGATAGTTCTCAACTTGAGTTGGGTCAAGTGAGGGTCTTTTGAGCAAGAGTGTAATCTGAGCCCTTTTGAAAGTGGTCGGGAAGGTTCCCGAAGCCAGAGAAGTATTTATCACATGATTGTCGGGACCACAGTAGGAGATATGGCTTGGATGAGATTCATAGGAATCGGGTCCAGTGGGCATGTAGTTGGACGGCTACGGGTCAAGAGTTCTGATACTTCGCTCTCTGTGAGAGGAGTAAACAAGGAGAATGAAGAACCATTGACCTGGGAGGGCAGAGGAAAAGATGTAGTAGGACTGCTACAATGGTTGAGTTTGAATGTTTCAGAGAATTGGCTAGTTATAGCCTCGACTTT